ATTAAAGGATGGTTTACTATTAGGAAAGTAATTTGCAAAATAACATTATTTATAAAAACATAGGATTATATCACTAAAGGTAGAAAAACCTATACAAAATACAGTACTTACTCAATTACATTAAAAATTCTAAGAGGCATAAAAGTGGAGAGACTTTTACTTAACATGGCAAAAAACATTTATCTATATCTAACTCAAAAAGCATTTATTTAGAGTTTACTATCTGTATAGCATGGTGCCAAGAGATTGGGATACAAGTTTATGTTATTTAATCTCCACTAAACTCTCCTACAATCCTTCTCAGGGTTTGCTGGTAAACGTTTAACAAGACCTCCCATAAAAGGAAACATTTTAAAGTTTAATCTGCTTTACTAACATTTTCACCACCACTTTCTTAAGTCTACACAATCCATAAAACAATAAATCAAGCCTGGATTCATGGTGTTTACTGATTTCTGAGGTGTAAATGCTCACACACTGAGAATTTAACAATAAAATCTCAGGAAAACAATCCTGAAAGACATCAGAACTTAGATCAATGAAATGAGCAATGTTGTTCAATCATTTCAGTCTTGTCTTACTCTTCATGACCGGTAATAATAGAACAGTTAAATACTTTGTGGTAAGCTAATGGAATGAAATAATATAATGGAATTAAATAAACAAGTATGAGGAATATAGAGAAAAATGGGAAGACCTTTATGAAATAATACAAAATGAAAAAAGCAAAGACTCAAATACAGATTAAATATGATTATGAAAGAGGAATCATAAATAGGAGTAAATGGACAAGCCAAGAATCCTAATGAATATTTAAAGGAATGACTGAGAAGTTACATTTAATGCACTGAAATATATTTAAATGTAAATATTTGCACATTTTGACCCATTGTACTTGTACTTAATATTACTTATAATAAATCATTATTTCTAAAAAAAGAAAAAAGTGAGAATAACTCGGTATTTAGCAGATGACAGCCACAAGGATGGGAGAAGAATGGCACAAGCAAATGTCTTGAACTTTAGAAGAAGACTTTCACTGTTTTCACTCTTCCCCAGCACAAGGGGCTGGGAAAAGGACAACATTCAACGAATAAAAAAAAGTCAATAACAACCTTCCCTATGCAAGGCACTGTGTTAGGCTCTTAAAATACAACAAAAACTTTGAAAAACAGTTTCTGTCCTCAAGGAGTTTACAGGGGACAGTGTTGGAGATGAGGGATACAAAAGTAAATACAAGGTAATTGGAAGAAAGAGAGCACTTAAGCCTTTGGAAAGGCTTCCTGTTGGAAGTGACACTGGGACTGAATCTTGAAGAAAGCTTAGGATTCTAAGAGTGAAAAAGAAGAAGGAAATATAGACATGGGGGAAAGAGAGGGACACCTGTGCAAAAGCAAAGAGGTAAAAGATAGAATGACAATTTCCATGAATAATAAGTAAGCCAGTTTGATGGAATGCAAAGATAGCTTCGGGGTTACAATGGGACCAAAATGATGTGGAAACCACAGTAGAAAACAAGAACTATGTCCCAAGAATAGTGACCACCAGTCAGGAGAGAGCCAATAATTCTAGATATTGTTTCCTTAGCCTAATTTGCATAAATCAGAGCCAGAATGTTCCTTGCCACAATGCACTTTTCTTAGGAGTAAAAGGCAGAACTGGACCTGGAGCCTTCCCAGAGAGGGAAAGGTAAGGAGGACCCAATCGGCAAGGGAACAAAAACCTCTTCATCATCAGATGGCAATCTCATTCCTCCAGCATAAAGGCTGGAGCTCAGAACAACACAAATTATTCCAATCTATGAGCCTAGGCTGAATACTCCCTTCTGAGCAGCTCCAATCTCAGCCTTTTGATTGGCTTTTTGACCCCATTAAATTCCTGACCGAAACCCATTATAATTCTTTATTTTCCCTGAATTTTAGCAAGTTTTGCCCTCTTGACCACACCCACCTTTGCCCCATCAGGACTGGATGAAGACCTGGAAAACATAAGCAATAACTTTTTCAGGGTCTTGTAGCCTGTGAATAGCAGAGCTATGATTAAGAATCCTAAAATCTGAGAGTTAAGATCTTAGAGGATTTTATTCAATCCACATTTAAGTGGGTAGATTGACAACATTCACAACATGGATCACTTTACCTGTTTGAAACCCTCCAGTGACAAAGAGGAGGATGCTGCTCCCCAAAGTAGCCCATTCCTTTTGGAAGATAGCTGCAAGAATTATTTTTTTCTTATACAGAGCTGAAATCTGCCTCTCTACTTCTTCCTCCCTACAATCCTCTGCTAGGGCCAAGAAAAATAAGCTTACTAGCTTTTCTGGAGGATAGCATTTTAATGCACGAAGCCATCATAACCTCTTAGCATCTTGTCTTGTCTTCTCCAGATGAAACTTCCTTAGTTCCTTTAACTGAAGCAGAAAAGGCCATTAGAGATCACCTAGCTCAACTGTCCAAACTTGCAGACGAGGAAACTGGAGCTAAAAAAGTGAAGTCACTTGCCCAGGGACATGCAACTAATGGGAGAATCTGGTGGGTCAGATCTCTAATATTTTTAAAATGATTTTCCTATATGTCATTTTGCATCCCTCTCCCTTTCTAGTTACACATGTCCCAAATCAGTCAATACATAGTATGATGCAAAAAAGCACTAGACTTATGCCACTGGCTTCCTATGTGACCTTGGAAGTAAGTGAAAGGAGAGTAAGTGGAGACAATGAGTATAGGCAGCTCTTTTAGAGGTGATATATCTCAATAATTTAAATAAGGGGTTCTTAACTTTTTTGTGTTAGAAACCCATCTGGCAATCTCTTGAAGCCTATGGTGCCCATCTCAAAATATATAAAATACATAGCATTGCAAAGAAATCTAATTATATTGAAATAATTATATAAATATTAAAAATAGAAAAAGTTCACAGATGCCAGATTTAAGGGGATAGTAGAGCCTAGTGAGGATTTTTTTAAAAGATGAGGGATACTTATAAATGTTTCTAGCTAATAGAGAAGGAACCCATAGATAAGAAGAGGTTGAATAGGAGAGCAGGGGATGACTGAGGTTTCAGTCGGCTGGAGCAGAAGGAAAAAGAAAGGATTAAGGATATATGTAAAGACGTGTAGGGAGGAAGAAGTAGAGAGGCAGATTTCAGCTCTGTATAAGAAAAAAAAATTCTCGCAGCTATCTCCCAAAAGGAATGGGCTACTTTGGGGAGCAGCATCCTCCTCTTTGTCACTGGAGGGTTTCAAACAGGTAAAATGATCCCATGTTGTGTATATTGTCAATCTACCCACTTAAATGGGATTGAATAAAATCCTGTTTACATATATCCTTATTTGTTGATTTCTTTTAAATATTTTTATCATCATTATTCTTATTATTTTCAATATTAATAGTCACAATTACTCAGCACATTTCAGTTTACAATGCACTTTCCTTACGGCAAACATGTATTTCCAACTCCATTTTGCAGATCACTGAATTCAAGTTCAGAGCTTAGGGAAATTTGCCTGCAGTCACACAGCTAATGAGCAAGTTAACTATCAAGGCCAAGACTTAAATTCAAGGTCTTCTGATTCTGATTCCTGAGTTCTTTTTGCTGTTCCCAATTGCCTCTAACGGTTTTGAAATACAGTGGAATCTCAGGGTTAATGTACAAAAAGGTCTTCTCCTTTATTGCATAAAAAAAACATTTTACAATAATGTGGGGGCAGGGGGGCACATGTGGCATGAGTTACATAAGGTATTCAGAGGAAGAAGAGGGACAAGATGAATCAGATTTTCTATAAACTATTTCATCATGTTGATCATAAAGAAAAAAATGTTAACAAATCTGCTATAACCTTGAAAGGTTATGACATTGTTGCAAAACTCAACAAAGAAAATCTAGATTGTAATAAAATCCACAGCTGATCTGTGTGAAGAAGTAAATCTTTGTAAACTTCTGAGTGATAAAAATTTGTTGTCTCAAAATGAAGTAGGAAGCTAATTAGAACATTAAAAATGAACTGTATAACTCACAAGGACAAAAGTCTATAAACCCACCATGGTTGCTCAAGATGGTTAGGCATGGATGGTTTGCAATCTCCATCTTGGAGGCACTTTAAGTTTTAAGGGTTTCATTGTATTAAATATGATGTTGTTTACAATGGACCCATTGGCCCTCACAATGCATCTTCAACTGTATAATCAATGGAAAAATAGGATTCACTTTTTACAGAGAACCTTTCTATTTCATTAAGCAAGGGATACCTGTATTTGTGCTACGAGCAATAACAATAATAATAACACGGTAAATTGTGTCATAAATCCCTTTCTCATCCAACCTTAGATGGGTCCTTAGAATAAGGTTGTGGGATACAAAGTATAAGTGTTCTTATCACCATCTTAGAGATAAGGAAATTAAGGCTCAGAGATGTCACATGACCTACCAAATCTCACGGGGTAGGTCGGCAAATTAAGATTTAACTCGAGTTTCCTGGGGCTCCCCTGTTAAGATGCTATTTATATAACCTAAAATCATAGAGCTGTGCCCCAATTTCTTTCGGCCCACAGACCTACATTTACTCAGCTGCCAATCTAGGATTGTGTTATCAGCACACCACTTGCTTTTTAAAGGGTCGAATGCAATTCCCTGAAAAGTCACAGCGCGAATTCAGAACTGAACCATGACTTTTGGCACGGAGCTTGGCTTTTTTTCCCCCCTGGAAGCTTCCAGAGTTTATTCCCAGGCTGATATAGAAACAACGCCCCAAATCGCCTTGTCCCAGCCAGCTGGTGTGGGTCCTGTCCTTTCCTTCCTGACAAGCCACGGCTTTCCTCGCCCCCAGCCCCTCAACAGGCTGGCTGAGTGATGCTGGCTGAGTGATTTTGGCTCCGCAGGGTGCTCTGTCTTCCCACCAAACTCCTATGGCGACAGGCATCATTCAGCTGTCTCCTCCTACCCAGGCAACCTGTTTGGGGAGATCTCTGACCTTTCCTGTCAGTTAGCACTTGTCTTCAACTTACCTCCCAATCCACAGGGAAGAGGACTCCTGCAGCCTTCTCCCCTCGGCTCAGGCTGCTGTCCCTGCCTCTCAAAAATATTGATAAGCAACTGACTCTTTCTCCATTGCCAGCCCACGGAGCAGGCAGAACCAAGCGGACAGGAGGGACGGGACCTGCCTCCGCCGTAACGTGCATGCGCACGAACGGCCTCAGCTCCTTTTGTTGATTGTCATTCAGATTGCTTTTTTTTCGCCCAGGCTGAAAGACTGAGTCCTGTAGAGTCAGTCCAATGGCTGACAAAGCAGCCAGTTTGGGGCAATTAGCCAGTTGAGGGATCCGGGTTGACTCCGAGTTATTCTGCCCCTCCTTTATCTCATCTGCTCACAACCTCAAATTAAGCTTCGTCCCGCTGGGCGGGTTCCGGGAAAGAAAAGTCTGACATAGACTTTAAACCATGAATTTCTTGATTGCAAGAGTTTCTATTTTAGAACTATGCAGATCCCACTGTAATCTACAAGAGCCTGTAGATCTAGAGGTCTACTATCGGGTCTACCATTCCTTTCATTTCACAGATGGGGAAACTGAGACTCAGAGAAGGACTATGACATCTGAGATCACAGAGCAAGTTAGTTTAGACAGAGCTGGGATAAAAATCCAGATCTCTTGGCTTCCAGAGAAGTGCTTCTAGGGTTAATTAATTAACAGTCATTAATAGCTAACATTTATATAACGCGTACTAGCCACCAAGCACTGTGCTGAGCGTTTTTGTGTAGCTACATGTTTTGTATATCAGTTAATTCTCCTACAAAATGGAGAATAATATTCCCTACTTACTGTCTTATGTCTTAGTTTGTTCTTCAAAATGGAGAATAATGATCTTTATCTACTAAATATGTACATATATACGTATTGGTTAGAAACCAGAGGAAGAAAAGAGAAAAGGAGAGGGGGGAGGAAGAGAGAGAGAGAGAGAGAGAGAGAGAGAGAGAGAGAGAGAGAGAGAGAGAGAGAGAGAGAGGAGAGAGAGAGAGAAATGGAGGAAGAGATGGAGAAAGAAGGAACTAGCTAATGTCATCTTGATAACTCACATTTTTGTAATGTTATAAGGTTTACAAACCATTTTCCTTACAGAAACTCCACGATGTAGGTAGTATACATTATTTATTTTTTGGTCTACACTTTGATTTCATTGGTGGGGAAAACTCCTAAAGAGGATATTTTTTTCACTCAATTCAGATTAGCAACTATTCTGCCATTTAAAGTAAATGAAGAGGGAACAAGAAGAATGATCAAGGAAACGATGGATGGTGGTAGATGGAAGTAAAGAAGGGAGAAAAAGGGAGAGAAAGAAGATAGTAAGACAGCATCTAACTGCTGTCATTGAATTAAAGCTACCAATTCTAAATACAGATTTTTTTTAGTATTTTTAATTAAATTTCTGTACGAAGAAATAAATTAAACCTTAACCATTGTAAACAACATATTTACACCAATGTACATCCTAGAATTCTGATGAAAGCAAAGATACATGAGAATGTTCTATTCTTCCTCTGTACATCCATCATCTTCTGTGGGATCAGGTTGCAAAGGAAGAGATTTTCTTTTAGGTTTTCCTAGGCCACTATTTCCTGCCTCTGCTTCATCAGGAATTTGATTCTCTTTTTTCTTCAATTCTTTTTTGCCATGTGGGTGTTGGCCGTACGTACACATACTGGGTTTCCACGTGCATACTTACTTTCAACTTTCCTGGACGGAGGTGAAGGAGAGGCCTTGGGGAAGCTGGAGTGACCCAGAGCCTCCCGGGGTGCTTGAGCCGACACCACTTTGCGGTAGGAGCCTAGCATGCAGTCGGCCTTAGTCCGAACCATGACCAAAGCAGGAGTGGATGACGAAACGACAGGGATAAGGATGAGGCCGGTGGACAGAGGTAGAATCTTTCCAAGAACCATGCAGTTGGAAAGCCACCAAAGCCACCAATTCTAGAGAAACTGAAGCTGGAGGTACTGAAAGAATTAGAGGCTATGAAGGCAGCACTTTTTTCAGTGATCTCTGAAAAATCATGCAGGACAGGGAAGCTGCTGAGCACAACCAAAATGTTCCAATTTTCAAAAAAAGAAAAAAGGTAGATTCTTCAAATGATAGACTAATCAGCTTGAATTTGTTTCCTAGGAAAATTCTAGAAAGCATTGTTAAAGGAATGGTTTGTGAGTACGTACAAAGGGAAGGGAGATCCCCAAGAGCCAACGTGAATCATTGGGAACAGATTATTCCAGACTAACCTCATGGTTTTTTGTTTGTTTGTTTTGACATGGTAACTATACAGATAAATCAGGGGAATGCCTTAGACCTAGTATATCCAGATTTCAGCAAGGCATTTGACAAAATCATTCCTGAGTAAGATGGAAAGGCCTGGAGTAGTTGATAGTGTAGCTAGGTAGATTAAAAACTGATTGAATAGATTAGACCTAAAGAGAAGTGATTAATGAATCAATGTGACCATGGCCTGTGGTATATAGTAGAGTACTCAAGGGATCTGACCTTTACCCTGTGTTGTTAGACACTTTTATCAATAGCTGGAAGAAGAGCATAAATGAATGTTTATCAGATTTATGGTTGAGACAAAGCTAGAAGAGATAGTTAAAACATTAGATAATAGAATCATGATCCAAAAAAAAATCTTAATTAGAGGGTTGAGCCATATTTAATCAGATAGAGATTTAATTTAATAGAGATAAATGTGATATTCTACACTTGAGGGGTTTTTTTTAATCACCTCTATAAGTACAGGGTGGGAGATATATAGCTAGGCAACAATTTGAGTAAAAAAGATCTAGGGGTTTTAATGGGCCACAAGCTCAATATGAATAAACAGTATGGCGGGGCAACCAAAAATAGCTAATGTTAGCTAATGTCATCTTGACAGCTCACATTTTTGTAGTGGTATATTGTTTTCAAAGCATTTCCCTCACAGCAATCCCATTATGTACACATTTATTTTTCAGTCTAAACCTGTGATTTCATTGGTGGGGGAAACTGATAAAGAAGATATTTTCTTACCTAGTTCAGATTGGCAACTATTCTGCCATTTATAGTCTTTTGAAGTTGCTGGGAGGTAAATGAGAGGCAAATGACTTGCCTCATACAGGCTCATGCAGCCAGTATATGTCAGAGCTGAGATTTGAACCCAAGTCTTTCTGACTCCAAGATTGATTCTCTATGGCATATTACTTTTCAGTGTAGGTATTCTTATCCTTGTATTCAAACTGAGGAAATTGAAACTATTAGAAGTTAAATGGCTTACCCATGGCCAAACAGCCAATAAATATCTGAGGTAGGGTTTGTACCCTAGTCTCTTGACTTGAAGTTCTTTCCACTATGCCACATGATCTCTTATATACTAAGGCTACATTAATTAGGACATAGTATCCAAGATGAGGAAGGTGATAGGCTACCTTAGTGTAACTCAAATCTCAAGCCTGGAGCATTTGTGTAAGACTCTCCTCACTGGTGAATGAGGATCACTCAACAATACATGTCTTCATAGGGCCCGCACTAATGAGAGAGCTTGAGAGAAAAGAGACATTATTCTTCAAACGATGAGAGGACATACAGAATTCCAGTGTCTCTTTGGGAAGAGATCTATAGAGAGAGATTACAGACTTTGGAAAGCATACATGTAAGGGAAACCTAGTTCCTCCACATGTCCCTGATTTCCAGGTTGCCTTCTTAGAGATTTTAGAAAATTTCCTCTTCAGTGAGATATAACTTCCTCTCTCTTGGATGAGAAGAGATATCTTACTCTGAATGAGAGAATTCATTAACTCTGTGTATTGTCTGGTATATTATAATCTGTATAATTTCTCTGATTTCTGTTTGCTATTTGGCTAAGTGAGTTTACGCACTATTCAATATTTGTAATGGTCTTTTATGTAACTAGAGTAACGCATTTCAAACCTCATAGGATGGTATTCTCTGATTATTGTTGGAGATGAATGTCCTGTTCTGAGTGAAGGGCGGGGTGGAGTTGTAAAGAACAGAAGTCTAGCCTTCAGTCCTCTTGGGGATTCTTCAAGGCCAACCTTTTCCAGGTCTACTCAAGCTTTACGTCTCCTCTAAGCTTCGAATTGCTTTGGGAGCTTCTGGGTTCCAGCTTCAAGGGAGAAGATAGAAAAGGCCAACTCTACTTCAAGTTACTGAAGGAAAAGACCCTGGGAAGACACGACTGAAGCTGGCAGTCTCCACTCAGCTTGCTATTTTAGTTTAGTTTTCCCTTGGGTGAGATCAAGGACTCCCTCTTGGTTGAGCTGAGTTATCTAGTGGGAGAACTCTTTCACTCCACTGAGAAAGCTCCTTCACTTGGTATTATGTGATATATATTTTCTTATACATGCCTTTTCTGATTTCTGTTTTGCTATGATTTGGATAAATGGGTTTCTTTGCTATTTTCTATTTGTGTTAATTGTGGAACTGGTATTTGGTGAATCAAGTCTTGGGTATAGAACTTGGGGTCCTCCTTCCTCTCCTGTCTGCCAGTAATGACAAAGTGATCAGGTTGAATTTGATCATGTCCCCTAGATTAATAACATTTAAGAGAACAGATAAATATAATCTTAGCCTGGTACCCCTTCTCTCTGAGAACAGAGTGACCTTGGCCTCAACTTCCTGCTTATCCTCCTGACAGGAATGAAAATCTTCCTTAGAGTAGAGTAGGGGGAGAAGAAGCTAGAGATGTCTCTTCTTCCTCTCTTTGAGCTACATCCTTAGCACTCATGGGCCTTTCTACATTTGGAGTTTTCTTATGCTAGGACTTGATGGAAAGGAATCAAGCCTTTGGCTATAAAATTAGGGTACCCATTCCTCGTTAAGGGATGGCAACCAAAAATGACTTGAACCTAAGCAAAATCATTCCCTAGACTAGCAATATTTAGAGGGGTAAATAAAGAAAGCTATAATTCTAGTTTGTCACCCCTCTATCAGGAGAAAACTCGGCAGCCTCATGGCCCCTTCTCTAGCTCTCTTCAGGTAGGAATCAGAATGTGCTTTGGAGAGGGTAGGCAAAATTTCAGAAATAACTATTCATGTCTCCCAAAGAGCCACATTTAGATAACTCAGATGAACATATACATAACCTACTTTGGCAATGCACACATCTTACTTTGGATAAACCGCATCTCAGGCTTGGGGTTCATTTTGTGCATCTCATATTGGGAATAACATTGATGAACTGGAGGACATTCTTCTGAGGGTTACTGGGTTGGTTCAAAGGCATAGATATTATGCCATACTAATAGTGCTTGAAGAAAAGGGGGTGTTTAGCCTCA